TCCCTCACCGCGTTTATTTCCTGGAGTGACCTATTCAGGGGAGAGTGGTGATAGACGGAGTTACCCAGACAGCTGGCTTCGTGAGACTGAACTTTATCTCAGTTCAGTTTTACAACCATTAACCATGCACTTTCGTGCGCGGGTTTTGGTTGCTGTCTTCTGGTTGCCCATTTGGATAAAATAGTGAAATGAAGATTGGAATGTCGAAGCAAATTCAAGCGGAAGATGGGTAATACATATAGAGTGAGATGGGGAATACATATAGTGTGTTAGGAAAATAACGAGTGGATGCACGAGCGCCACTGTTTGCGACACCCAGCCGTATCACTCAGTGTCTCTAACCATCGGTGACCATCATCCCGAGGTCCCCAGCCAAGGAGCCTAACGGGGCTTATGTGACCTAGTCTCCTGGTTAGGGTTTTCATACCCTCATGCCAGGTCTTAGCTTGACCGCCCTTTGTTTTTTTCCAATCGCTACCAGCCTTTCAGACATGATTGGACCTGCGGTGGTGAAAAGCCATTTTGTGTAGTTCGCAGGGTTGTGAAGGCACGCAAGACATCACACCCCGCCAAAGGACAGTCTCGTCGTGATGGAGATACAGTCGAGGAATCCTTTTGTATGTGAGAAGAAAATGGGAGAAAGAAAGTCTCCAACAACTCATTAAGTAACATGTTACAACCATGAAGAAATCCGTCACTCTTAAAAGAAATAAAGAAATGTTAAATGTAATTCCAGTCACGATAATTTTTTTCGAGGTCTGATGCGTACTTATCAACTGGATGACAAACATCTCGAACCAGAAACAGTCAGAGTGCCACACGGTCGAACCCGATAGTTGAATCGAAAAGTTCAAAGTTGACCGCTCGTTTGGTTGTTTTACCTCCAAAAACTAGCTTGGTAAGTCGCTTGCAAAGTGTAGTTATCCACGTATTGATAGACCGCTACAGACGATGTTCCCAAGGATGAAATGGAACAGATGAATGATGAAATTGTCACGCAACGACCACTTCCATGTCATGCATCCAGTTTCGGCGCCAGGTGGCTAATGCTCTAGCGATTCTTTCACTTGACGGTGAATATCGATATCAACTAGTGGAATGTTTGTAATAATGTTTTGTTTTTTGAACGCCATTCCTTTTTCTTCCACGTGAAGGCTTCACTTTCTTGTGTTACCAATCATCACAAGTTCTTACAGCACCTAAAATTTGATACAATTTCCGGTGGGTTTCATTTTGCACTTGTCCACTGTAAATTTCATACTGCAGATTCTCATAAATTTGCCAAAGCTGGCAACCGACTTTGTTCTCTCTTCGGTATGTTTCTCAGAATTGACGAAATAAGATCGATCAACTCAATTGTCTACTCGTGACAGTTACATGAGAACTGCATACGCGGTGATTAACTTCGGCTGCTGATTCTCTTTCGAACTGGTGATTAGTAGATAAGTAGACCAGAATAACTTGATAAACAAAACGAAACATTGTCTTTCGAACATGAGGAAATCAATATCTGAATTTTCGAACACCATGGCATTGTACAAATGGGATTTACACATTGAAACGGGAGAGAAGTAATAGATGAACACACACACACGCCTGCTCGTTTCAGACGAGGACAACTCACATCATGTTTAAATCCCATCAGGAAAGGAACTTCGGGATTATAAGTCGATAAAAGTTTTCGTAAATTCTCCACCACCACATACGTGTCATCATCGGCCTTGAAGAAATAGTCAAACTTCTCTCCATATAGAGCGGATATGTAATTCAAAGCAAAGTGTGTCTTGTTCCACAGTAAATCACGAGACTCAAACGGGACCGCAGCTGAAAAGAAGTGGGAATGCAGTGGGAACTAGAACAATGGCGTCGGGACGAATGAGATTTTATTCCATCACTAGACAGTCAATGAAAACACGTTGCGAGAAAAACTTCGAAGGGGATTAGGTAAATACTTTACCAGATGATACAGTGATCACCCCTCTCCTAGAGCACACTCACGAAGGGCGGCCCCACCTTTTGACCGAACACATTGTATCGGACGTGACTGATTTTATCGCTAAAAGTTCTCCAAGAGCGAACACGCTTACCGGATAGAAAATGTACGCATAGACAGAAAAAGCAGATTATTTCTATACTGACGAACGTTTGTAGGCTCTTGTAGGCTTTTTCATGTGTTTCAGCAAAGATCACTAGAATAGTTGGATAAATATTGGCAATGAAAGTTCAGGAATTCTGTGCGCGGAGTTGTGCGCGATCAGTTGTTTGAGACCGAAATTGATATTTACGGTTGTCATCATGATCATCATTATTGTACAGTGTAATGCATTGAAGTGAACCTTACTGATCGCTATCAAACTCCCTGTGCATACCAAGGTTGTTAGACAGGGATTAGGCTTATTTTGAAAGAGGAAGGGAGCGAACTTCTATGGCTAACACACTGAGAATACGGTTCAAAGGTGCATAAATACTTCTTCAAGCCTTCTGACCCGATAAGGAATGCCAAAAAAGAACGCTACGGTTGTCGATTAATTGCCACATCCTTTGGTGTATACAATCAACCAGTTACAGAGTCTTTTGGATCCCAACCTGAAAGACGGGAAACACTGACCTACGTAATAGCTCTGTGCATTATTTCAGACCTAGTTTCCACGTCATCCGATGACCTCTACGTCGCTTGACCCAGCACCAAGCGGCTACAGCGAACAAAGCGCGGTGCGGTAGACAATGTCAGCGGATGCACGATTTGTGTACCGACCAGCAAGACCTACTAATCTGGAGTCGATGCACAGAGAAATTTATCCCCAACGTCACATCGCCAGAGTATTAAACCGTTCACTCCATCTCACGTGCGCCAAAACACGTAAGCACTGATAGTGGAAAACTTAGGGTTATTGGATGTTTTCCAATCGCGACTTCCAGTTTACACAACTACAAGGCAGAACTGTCCGTACAGTGGCTCAGAATTCGCATTTTGCGACTTCGGTGAAAAGTCATGCCTGTGCCAAAAACTTTTTTGTCCTGCTCCGTAGGTCATGACCCTATCCAAGCACGAGAAGTAGGCGACTCCAACTAATTCCTGACAGTCCAGTTTCAGAACGCGACTCGGCGATATCCAGTCTTACAGCATCACTTTGCAATTTGAAGGTGCAAAGCGCATGCCGGACGGAGCAACAGAACTTGCTAGTCGTCAAGTGCCTTTGGTGTATCCCTCAAACATTCGAAAGGAGAGACGACGTAATCAGTGTCCTCTAAGCCATACAACTTTCGCCCAGCTGCCTATTCAATACTTACATTTTGGAGACCACTTGGTGCGTTCTCTTCTAATTCGTCATTAAACATAATTTTTTTCTACTTTTACCTCCTTTTTATTGAATACATTACGATGCAATTTTCAGAAAGGAGAAAGTGGCCAATCAAAGAGATACCATACAATACACAATGGGGAAAGTCAGGCGCTAGGGTTGGGATTTGAACACACGTTCAATGAGGTGGGAATTTGGTGACTTAACCACCGTGCGAAATACGTCATCCTCGACGAATAACGCTGCGAATTTCGAACGAACTGCTCAGCTCACCATCACCCTTACGCTACCGGCAGTATGCGAGTAGAGCAACCTCAGTAAGGTTCAAATACTTCTGCGGCATTCTATTGCAAAGAAGCGACCTCATAAGAGCTCCGCGACCAATTAGGTCGAAGGCTCCTTTAAGGTCAAGGAACACGACAACCGTTTTTCAGCGGTGTGTATCACATAGCTCGACGACTTGGAGCAAAGTGAATATTTGGTCGATGCAATCGCCTTATGGTCGGAACCCATCGGATATTTCTCTGCCTAACGGGTGTGAGACGTCGAAGTAAGGCGGAGGCTAACACGCTAATGGCGACAGGGATCAAACTTATTCCGCAGTGGTTTGCGCAATCGTTACAAGATCCCTTCATAAAAAATAAGAACGATCAGCAATTCGTTTATAAAAGATGGAATTGCGCTCTTCAAACCCGAATGTTTGCGCAATAAATCAGTAATTCAATCTATGATTACATCAGCTCCATACTGAAAAGATTGGGAGAAAACTGAACCGGAATACGCGGGCACTCAAGTTATCCAGAAAAGCTTGCAACTTACCATCATTTTCACTTAATGGCAAAATATCGTCTGCATACTCTACATCAGACAGTCTGTCACACAAGAGTAAATCGATGCTACTATCCTCGCATGCGGATAGGGCTGTTTTCATAATCAGATCTATAATAAAGTCAAATAGAAAAGGAGAGAGAGAGCAACCTGACGAACACCACTTTCCGTGGTGAACTCCAGCTAAAATAAGCCGTAAGCTCGAACTCCACTTCGGCTATTAGTATAAAGCGAACGTCATAGTGAAATTATTCTCCCGGGTACCCTCATCAGGGAAAGACAGCGCCAGAGTTCAGAGCGGTCGACTGAGTCGAAAGCCGCTTTCAGATCGAGGGAAACAGAGATAGTGGGTCCAAAGTAAGAAAATCGGTACTCCAGTGTTTGGCGAAGAGTGAAGATCTGGTCGATACAACCTCAACCAGGTCTGAAACCAGCCTGGTTCTTACGCGTGCACCGTTCACGTGCGGCGGACAGTCGAGGGAGTGTAATACCAGCGAGAAGTTTAGAGACAATGCTGATTGGACTAATTCCTCTGTGGTTTTTATAAGAGAACCTGTCGCCTTTCTTGTAAATCAGAATGATCACCGACTCACATCATACGGTTGGAACCTGTTCCCTCTCCCACACTCCGAAACCAATGCTAAATCTTCATCCTTGAAAACCGATGGAGACTACCCATCTGGGTCGGAGACCTTTTGAGATAACTTATTTCCCGAGAAACCGCTATTTCAGATGGAGGGCTGGCATCAACTGGCAGTATTTGCCTGGTCGAAATGAGGGGGTGATAGGTCAGATATCGATTGGGGCCAGTTGAACTGAGCCTCAAAATGCTCAGCCCATCGATCAATACGGGGTTGCTGATCGTGAATCAGTGTGCCATCACGCTTATTTTCCTAGGACCTGTATTCCTAATTAGATGGAAAAGATTGCGACTACCAATAGCCGCGTCTTTCTCCATCTCTTGACACTTTCCTACCCACCACTTCTCGCGGTCATTACTCAAACTCTTGATGAGCTGGCGTTTAAAGGATTTGCGCGCTGTGTCACATGTGACATCGGGAAGGTTCTGCGAGCATCCAGCAGAGCAGCCAAGGTCGAAGAGATCCATCGTTTGTGTTTTGAGCGTGAGTCAGCTTCCGACGTTGTTTTTATCGATATTTGCATAGCTTCCTTGATCTGCTTCCAGTGATCATTGAGTCATTCCGATGATGATTGAACTGACAGGCGATCGGAGGGTTCCGCTTCGAAGGCCGATTTGCAACAATCGCTGACATTGTATCGTGGGGATATCCGTTGTCGGTGGTTTTTTGCAGTTATTTAGAAGGCGTAAGGAAAATTTTGATATTAGCAAAGCGTGGTTCGTATCCACAGATGTTGATCAACGACAGTCTTGAATCGATCCCCTCCACCGGTAACTGATGGCAATGTGGACGATTTGGGTTCAGCTCAATGAAGAGGTTGGCGGTTTCCACGTAAGTCGATGGCGTTTCTTGTGCGATGAGTTCGTGTTTGACAGGAACAATCCGTGGTCCGCGCAAAGTTGAAGTACGCGATCTCTGTTGTCCGTTCGGTTGACTGGGATTGCTTGCGGTCCACCAAGAAGCCTTTCTCATTCGTCCAGAGATCCCACTTGAGCATTGAAGTCTCCGTCGACTACTACGACGTCCGTTGACCGAGCACTTTAGAGTAGTTGAGGGAGGTCCTCGTAGAATTCATCCTTTATTTGTGGCGAACTGTATCCAATCGGTGCATATACCGATACGATGAACAAGCATAGACGCTTCGTTATGTAGCTGTTGACCCGTACTGAACCGTTGAGATGTAGAACGCACAGTTGATTCTACGGGGTGCAACCGAAAGTTCACGTATCGTCCACAAGTGCAATAGTCAATGTTTCAATACTTTCTTGTCACATCAAAGTCTAATCCATCATGGCTTTCTTCCAATTGCTCTCAGTCTACATTGCCTGTCCGGTGATATGTGTAACCCCTGTCCCTGTCCTCGCAATCAATGAATGTCAAACAGTTGCGTCCTCGGGGCCGTAGTCTACGACCAGCGGAGCTGTACGATGCCAGTGTTTACGGGTAGCGGACAGGAGAAATACCCATAAATTGTTAACTATAAATAATTGGTCACCAGTTTAATGAATAAGTTTACGCAGATGATCAATGGCGATTTTTGGAGATGCACAGATTTGTCAGCTGGGAAGCAATTGCTTTTCAAAGAAACTGCCAATGTTTGTAATAAAAGCCTTGGGGCGTGCGTAAATCTGGCACGCCACTGATTAAGATCATTGACATTACTTTGTTGCTCCACAGACTGATTAGCTGTGCAAAAGATAAAGGCTCGTATACTCGAAGGAGAAGGACGCGTGGTACTAATGATGTCAATTTATACCTTATTCTCATGCTTCGTTTTGGATCTACCACTCGCAAAGCCGAATTAGCTTCATTAATATACTAGTTGCTTAAAATTAAGATCCAGTTAGCGCTGGTATTAGTGTACCGCCAGGACGACTCAATATTCTGCTTCTGAACTCAGCATCATCCACCTGGCTGTGCCGCAAGACTCGTACAATACTGCACCGATAGCGAATCCCGTTCAGTGATGGTCTGCCTAACCCCATACAGAAAACGACTGCGATTCCGGCCAATATAGTGAGACTGGTCTGCCAGCTGACGAAACCGTGCAGACTGTACCACACAAAATCATTCTCTAACATTCACTGCCTTTTTTAACTCATTGCAATCCGAATATTCTTGTTTGGCA